CAAGGGATAAAAATGTTGTCAGGTTAAATTTTAGACACAGTGGGTGATCTAGTACAGGTCCAAAAAATTACGCTGCACTTGCTACGCCACGAGAGTTCACAGAATGCTTATTTACATAAACTTGATTCCCCGTCGGGCTCGTGCTATATACAAGGTTATAATCACCCGGGCAGCGCACGAAACATATCTGTTTATGGAAAATTTAAAGAGCTTGCTTTCAATTCTTCGGAGCTTTATTCTTAAGGATCTCGAAAGAGATTTATTTTTGAAATTCCGAGTGTAATTCAATTGTCCGGTATTTCTTTCTTCTTTTTGTTGAGACAAACTTAAGTGTTTCTTTTCTTGTCGAGATGTCAGTTTCGATAAAAACAACAGTCATGAAAATTTGACATCAGCCGCCATACAAGTATTTCAAAAGGGATTTGATCATAAAGAGAACGAATCGATAAATCCATATTTTTTATGTACAAAGAGAAACAAAACAATTCGATATTAGTTGTTTGGAGCATAGCGTTTCTGTGAAAAAATACATTGATACAAAACGCCAAGTAAATACGTACCCTAACTAATAATAGCACTATGGTTTTAAAAGCCGGTTGGCAGATGACAGTTAATGGTTCATTCGTGACATGTTATGCACATCTAACGCAGAAATTTGTATTCACGCTGCTGGTTCGTATCTCTTAAAACAATGTATAACTGCTTTGTGATTGTCATTTCGTGATTGTAAGTTATTTCTGGTCAAGTGATCGACGAGAAAGTGTGTAAAATGCGTCTCGATCTTGAATACATCAGGGCAAAGAAAGAGATTGCGAAAGGCCATTAGGATTATGATAACAGCCATTCAGAATCCACACCCTTAGGAAATAATAACAAATGAGATAAAAATACAACTGTCCATCATTTTCTGTCATGTGAGAGACCATTGTTCTTGAATTGGCAGCTGGCAAAACAGTTGCTTAACTAGAGCTCTATCTCTGCCAAAGGAAGAGGAACCATTTTGGTTCAAAAATGAGAATAGCTATGAACAATGCAGCGGAAAGATGGGCAACATGACCATGAGTCACGTAATGAGTAAGTCTCTAATGAGGAGAGTGTGGATAAGTAGAGGAACACGTAGCTGGACTCTTTAAGCAAATATATATGTGGAGCATTTGTACTCCTTTACTTTCATATAGCTGCAAATAAGTAGATATGTCTCCGTGTGGTAAAGTTGTTATTATATCCATAGTTAACTAGTTGTTTATACACGGCTTGCCACTGTGACTCTAAAAGGTAAATAACGAAAACCCCGGCGATGAAAAGATTGAGGAGAATCGTTAACATCGAGAAAAAAAAATTGCAAGCCTATTGTATGGCAGAAGATGATTACGGTAAAGTCGATTAGTTTAGTCCCATCTATGACTTAAAAGGTTTAAAATGTGAAATTTCAAACAGAAGTCCTCTCTCAACTCGTTGATATTTAATTTTTTTGCTTGTTGTTATCCGAGAACAGATCGAACGAGTATTTCACACGAAGCAGCTATTGTTAATCGCAGGATAAGACTCAATTTTCACATTTTTTTTTGTGTGTATCATATTCTGTTTCAGCTAAAACAAGAAGCGATAGAAACAAAACAACATGAGCTTTGTGAATACTAATCAAACCAACGACACCTTTTCTGATGAAGACGACTATTATTTAGATGATGGCTGCCCTCCGAGTAAGGAAGCAACGAGGCCTCAATATTTGACCAAAGTCATGATGTACGCCCTTATGATAGTGGTGTCCTTGATCGGAAATGTCTTGATAATATCTGTTACTCGACGCACCCGAAGTATGCAGAAGGTAGCTTTCCACTTTGTTATAAACATGGCCATCGCCGATCTCGTTACCACGTTGATTAACATGCCGGAAGCCTTGACGGTTGAGATACGAGATTCAGATGACTGGTTGGTAACAGGAGACGCAGGAGTCATTCTCTGTAAGCTATTGCCCTTGTGCCAAGACGTCTGTGCGTTTTGCTCTATTCTTAGCTTACTAGCGATTGCACTGGACAGGTTCCTCGCCATCTGCTTGCCTCTTAAGAGAATCATGACAGGAAGAATCGCTAAGGTTATTATTGTAAGTACTTGGCTGATTCCTTGCCTTTCAAGTGCCCCAATGTTAGTAGCAAACATTGTTGTAGAAGATCATGGACAGTTTTTTTGTATTGAAAAGTGGCCAGTTCCTTTCGACGACGAAAAGACAGCAAGGGATTACACAATAATTCTGTTTGTGCTCTTCTACGCTCTTCCATTAATAATCATATCAACTTTGTACAGTTGCGTCATCTATAAGATCTGGCGAAGGAGGGCTCCAGGACACCGCTTGGCCTCAACTACTCGACTTTACACCCGTAGCAGAAAAAAAGCATTAAAAATGTTCATGGCAATCGTTCTTTGTTTCGCACTTTGCTGGCTTCCGTATCACGTCTTGTTCTTTTTAGAGACCTTCGATACGGACTTTTACAAATGTGGAGTGCCTCTAACTGCGGCCTTTGTTTCTGTTTTTCTCTCCCATGCCTTAAGTGCACTGAACCCATGCATATACCTGATATTCAACAAAGACTATCGAACTGGGGTAAAGCGTTTGCTAGGATCCTGTGCTAAGTGGTCAGATACGGTACACCCTGAATTTAACACTGGTAGTGATATTAACACACAAACAGGCGTCCAGGAGGATCGGGAGATGACCACGTTTCAAGCTCAAAGTCCTCAAAGCGGCATCAGAAACTCGTCACTGAGAACAATAAAAAAAAAGTAGTAATCAAAATGATCCTAATTTCAAAGCATCTATGGTTAGGTTCAATCTCGGTTTCAAATATTTATCATGAACGTGGTATACGCTCGATTCCAGAAACATTGACATTGGAAAAGCGTTAGACAATAAATTCTGAAATCCAACGAAATGGGTACGCTTGTGTAAAAGATAATAGCTATAATTATTGTTCTCGGCGAAAGATGGATGCCATTCACACATTCCTGATAGAAAAGAATTATTTTAAAAAATTATTTCAGTCTTCAAATTTAACTAATGATTTATGTAAATCATAATTACCGTATTCCGTGGTTCAAGCATTTAAGGTTTCCACATTTTTGCAACTGAGTGAATATATCATAATCGCTGGCTAACTGAATCGAGTGTGATAAGCCAAGTATTGTTAATTTTTGGAGCAGCTTAGGAAGAACAAAATAGCTTACTGTCTCGCTGCTGCTACCTACCTGATTATTTCGATGAAAGAAGCAGCAGATAAAATGAGTACGGTTGACCAGGAACATCCAGAAGTTCTTAATTCTTATCCGCAAGAAGGAACTTCTGTAATCACAAGTCGCTTTACTAGCATTGCGCGGCGAGAGTATATTTTCTACCGGCCGCACGTCCACATATGCGAATTGTATCTTTTGTTGAGGTGTGTGTGGTTGATACGAAATAAAGTTTTCATCTGAACTTCGATGGGCGATTTTTAATCATTGGAGACCCAAGCTATGCTATCCCTTCCACGGAAGTCACAAAATATGAAAGTTACGTCGGTAGTGTTTTCTTGAAACTCAAGTAAATTTCTGTATCACTCACACAAATACGTTGCCGAAGTTGTAAGCGTAATTTGAAAGGCATGTAGCAGTACATAATAACGAGGGCTAGTGGCGCATGTGAGTGTTCCAAGGAAAAAAATGAAAACAATTTTCAGTAATAGAATACAGTGGAATACTGCGTATGGTGATGTGCGGGAAGAATTTCTAGTTCGTTTTTCAACAAGAAAACAAATCCACTTCGAAGGGATCCTTTGAAGATTTTTAAATGTAGATTGCTCTGGATTGAAGAAGAAGCTAGTTTGAAAAAAGAACCAATAATAACAACTGCAGAAATGAAAACGACGGTAGAAAGAGGCAGCTATGGTTGAAATATTTGTGGTTTTAAAGAAAACGATACAACTGATACAATAAGAAAATAGTCGAATTTAAACTTATTGCTCAAAGAGTTAATAGGGTTATTCATTCTCATTTGAGCTTTTGTCCTCGTTTCATTGTAACATAATGCCTAGCTTTTCAGTCTTTTTTGGGTTGTTCGTTTTCTCTTAAAGGAAGGCGATTTGGCGTTGTTAAAGCGGACAGTGTTAAGAGCACCTTATCTCCTCCCTTCTCTTCGCGTTTGGGCCACACCCTAATCAATCTTTTTCTAAATCGAAAAAGGACATCACATTTTCAAAGAAATATTGATATCTGGACTACATGTGCAACCTAAAGTGCAAACTCATTTACATTCACGGTTAATTTGGAATAATTATAGTCGTTAGACGATCGTACCCTTTGGTACCCTTTTTCGTAGGGAGGAAATCAGGGTAAATTTTTGTTTTGTCACTGGCTAACCTTGGTCCACGTGACCAGGGTTAGTGACAAAGGCTCCAGAATCATTACATTGCATTTTAACTTTATTCCATGGAGTTTTTACTCTAAAACGATGTGCACCAAACATATATTTAGGGCAAACGGAAAAGTGTCGTCAGTGTTATCTTGGTATGGCTTCCTCCCTCCTACGCCTGTGATCTAAGAAGACGTTTCCTGTAGTCTCAAATGATTTTTTACCAGAAATAATAAGATGATCCTTATTTGGGAAAATACTGCTTATAATGGGTGTTTCGTGGTCAATTAAAATATTTCAATTTCAGTTAACCAGAGAAGCCTCTATTTTAAAACAAAACTTAATGCTCAGCCTTTGGTACCAAAAGACAATTTTTCATCTTCATACATACACCAGAAAGGTTCTGTATGTGGCCCCATGTCGGACGTGAGTGGGTTTGAAGTGAACTTAGATCATTAAACACTTAAAGAATATAAAAATGACGATGATTACCAATTCAATATAATTTGAATATGAAAGAAGATCAGCTGGCTTATGTAAGCCTTTCTCGCGACGCTTTGAGTGTCATTTATAAGCTTACGATCGCTTTTAGGAGATAAACCATAACGTTACCAACGCCATGAATCGCAGCTCAAACGCGACAAACAACACATTTTTGAATGACCTCAGCGAATTTTTTCTCTATGACTACTGTCCTCTACTTTCACCGGAGGGACTACTCATGAGAGCAGCAAAAATAACAGGATTCGCCGTTATAATAGCAACATCTTTGTTTGGAAATCTGTTAGTAATAATCGTCACTCGCAGAGATCAAAGGCTGAAGAAGGTGGCCTTCACTTTTGTTGTAAACATGGCCATTGCAGATCTTCTCACCACAGTCATCAACATGCCAGAATCTCTTTATGAGCAGATAAAAGATACAGATGAATGGATTGCAGGTCACATCGGGGTAGTGTTGTGTAAACTTTTACCCTTCTGTCAACAAGTTTGCTCGTTCTGCTCTGCTCTCAGTTTATTAGCCATAGCATCCGACAGATTTTTTGCTATTTGCTTTCCACTGAGGAAAGTACTGACTCGAAAACTGTCTACAATTATAATTGTGAGTACGTGGTTGATACCTAGTTTTTTTAGCGCACCAATGTTTCTGGTAAACAACGTGGTAAAGGAAAAAGGAATTTTTTTTTGCGTTGAAGAATGGTCAGCCCCGTTTGATTCCTTGGAGTCTCCAAAATATTATACCGTAATTCTTTTTGTGCTCTTCTACATTCTACCACTGGCCATTGCATCTGTGTTGTATGGTTGCGTCATTCACAAAATTTGGAAGAGAAAAATTGTTGGAAATCACTCATCCAAGACAAAACGGCTGCTTTCTAGAAGCAGACGTAAATCATTGAAAATTTTTATCACCATTTTGGTTTGCTTCGCATTTTGTTGGCTCCCAGATCACGTAGCCTACTTCCTAATTGATGATAACGAGGAATTTCGTGATTGCGGCTTGCCAAGAGACATTTATTATGTTTCATTATTCTTTCCCCATGCAATAAGCGCGTTAAATCCTTGCATCTATATCATATTTAACCAAGACTTTCGGTCTGGCACGAAAGATTTGCTAATCATGTGTCGTCGGGTACTATTTCGATGGAACGAACTCGTGGACTCGAGGAATAGGTCGTCATGCAACGACAAAATGAGTTGGGATGAAGAAAAACACTTAGAGGTTTACCCACTTTATTCGTTGAAGACAAGAAGACCACCAAAGATGAGCACTGAATACTGCAAATCATACGTTTAAAAGGTCATGAGTGGCGGTCTCATTAATGCATATTTTTAATTGTTCATTAGACTTCATTTGACTTTTAGAAAAAAAAATCTATAAATGCAACATAAATTCAATCACTTAGGACCAAAGCGTTACTGATGAAGCGCAGTATTGGCTTCTTAAACGTTTCTCTAAGAAGTGGCTTTTAAAAGGAAAATAAACATAACACATACAGTGTTCATTATTGACCTTTCAAAAAATATTAATAAGCGTACAACAAATAGCTGCAATTAGTGTTGGCGTCCTTGCCTAAAAAACATCAATTACTTTTTAAGTGCGGAGGTAAATATAGAGTTTAGAAGGCCATAGACGGCATATTAACAAGTCTACCACAGAAAAAACTTTTAGTTTAAACAAATATCTATCAAGAATATTTTAATACAACTTTGGTGATTATTTATTATCCTTTAATCAATGCGATAGTTCAGAAGCGATTGCGTGCAGTTTTCTCGAAATGCTTGAATGCGGAAACTGGGGAATATCACATTATTTTTTTGCCGACCATGACGCGAACCTCTATGAGCATTGAATGGAATGCAAAAATCTGAAGAAGAAAAGCTGGAAGCAGTAAAAAGAAAATATGTGAATGCTAAATTGTATGTTATTAGCGAAAACATTAAAAGAAATATTACTTACATTATGTACGTTCTGAGAGGAAGTTGTGGTTATTTGTGACCCTCCACGGAAAAAAAAGTGAAACTTGCCTTATATAATTTCTTATGCATCATCACTACTACTCGGTGCTAGTTGGAATTCTCCAAGTGGTTAAATAGAGCTCCCTTTGGCCCAATTTTCGCTCACACTCTTCGGTTTTGTTTAGTTTGCAGCATACTGAAAGCCTGTCACATATGACACCAGTTAGTATGTCTGGTCAGTCTCTCCATTTGCCTTTGCAATGGTAAAGCATCGAAACGCCAAATCTGACTGATGGGGTCCAAGATTTAAATTTTGCTCAGGGACTCATTTTAATTTTGTTTCGAGCTCAAATGATAGCTTTCTTCGTTCGATAAACGAGCGCAACTTGAAATCCATCATCTCTCTTAAACTATTTACCCAGCTGTCTTTGGTTTTGGGTGACCCAAAGAGCATGCGCATGACTAAATAATCCGGTTGAATGGATGGATGCCTTTATTTAAAAATAAGAATAAACCTCAGGGTAGCCCCGTCAGCAGCCCTAAAGAGCCACCTGCTATCAATGGGAGCCCTGAGTATAAACTAAATAAAACACATTACAATTTCATGCGAAATACAAACACGAAGATATAAAGAACATTTATAAGGCTTTAGATTTCTAAATTTAAAATTATGTATATACATCGAAACGCCAAATCTGACTGATGGGGTCCAGTTTAGGGTTCTCTCTCGACCTCGTTGTACCACGTTAACCATCCTCCCCACCCTTCCCCCCTAATATTTTCCCCTTTCCCCTCGTCCCTTCATCACTACTATTTCCACGAGGAAGCAGCCAAGTGAGTTTGCACCGGATCAAATTACACCTGCACCTCTGCATACATTGCATTTATCCAGAAATTTTTATTACAATATGTCCTGGGTAAATTAGTATTTTCTATTAATATCCTTCTTCTTGGTCAACATCAGTCTTGTGCCGTAACTGTATAGTTCATCAAAAAGAGATGAGTTTATCACGGCTGATGAACGGCGGCATGCGGTTATTATTAAATTGAAGTAAAATTGCAGTCTCATAATGAAAAAAAATTTAGTTGAAATGAATAAATTACTGTACCTGACTTGAACAAGTGCTGAGGAGATTAAAGCGCGGTTTATTTTATAGGTTGCTTAAAACAGCTATATATAAATCTTAGAATCGTGAATGTGCTCAAAAGAATTATTCCTTATTCAAAAAAGTATCCATAGCATTTTTGCAAAAGGTCAGATTTAAGCAGGAACACTAAGTAGTTTTGTTTTTTTTTTTTCAGTGGGTGAACCAAGTTCAATTATATGCAAGGGCAAATAAGCGTTTCAGGTCTTCGCGATGTAAGGGTTGCCATGAATTTGAGTTAATGGGCCTTTTTCAGTAAATGATTAAATAGATACTATGGAATGCAAACGGTTATGGTCTTTAAGGAGCTATTTAGTTAGCTTACAATGGATGGACTGCTAAAAATGGACTTAGCAAATACCAGTTTTAAATCCACATGTAGCCACTTTCAATACCCTCATTCTCATCTCAAAAAACGTCTGTTAAATTTTTCGGTTAAATGTATTGGCATTTGGGCGACCTTATCTTTGCAACGCGCTCAACCTTAGAATTGTATTTCGGCTTAGTAGAACCAGTCGCATCCAGTGATTGATTCTCAAGGCCGGTAAAAATTCGTGCGCAGCTTTCGTATATTTCGCTGAGTCCCTTCCGATAGTTTTTGTTGAAGATGAAATATATACAAGGGCTGATAGCTGCGTTAGAATGCATAATAAATAATGCACAGAAATGAAAGTTGACTTCATCTATTCCAGGCGGTATTTTTTCTATGTTCCAGACGAAGAGGAGAAGGCAGCTAAATATTGTGACAGGCGTGATGCAAGAAACGAACACAACGACCACCGTCACAACTTGTTTTAACACTTTTCTGTTTTCTTGTTCACGCCTTTGTCGCTCCCGACAGGAGTGTTCAGTGGGTCCTTTCTGCTTCCAAACTTCAATTGCAATGGCTGTGTACAATATAATAATCACTGCGATAGGAAAAAATATCAGCACCAAGAAAATGATCAAAAAGTAAACTTTTTGAGTGGAGGCAGTTTCAAAGGCCGGCTCCCATTCGTTCTTGCAATATATATCGTTCCCTTCCACTATCAGTTTGAAAGTGTAAAAGTACGTCGAGTGGAGGCCTACGGCAACAACCCAGATGAGACAAATTACTATGCGGCAAATTTTAGGCGTTATTACAGCAGGTTGGAAGGGAAATTTCACCGCGTGGAATCGATCAAAGGCTATAACAACCAGGCTAAGTATCGAAACGGCTGTTGAGATGTCTTGTGAAAAATTCACAAATTTGCATAATATTTCTCCTCCGATGCCAACGACAAGCCATCGCGATTTGCCGATCACGATCTGCGCTATCTCCTTCGGAACAGCAAACAGCGGAAACAGCAAATCGCTGATGGCCATGTTGGCGATCAGGTTGTTAGTGGTGGTCCGCATTCTGGTGTTTCGGAAGATAATAATAATAACCAAAGTGTTTCCTACCAGCGACATGAGCATGATTACACAGTAACATAATGCTTTGATCACTTTCACAGTCTCCGCTTCTCCTGCAGTCGAGTTGCTGGTTGTAGAGTTCATCATGGTGGCTTTAGATTACCTTCACAAGTAATGTAACTGTTGCCGTCCGAACTATTCTTTGGAGAAATATTTATCAATTCATACAAATTTATGTGCTCTGGTTCTTGTAATAAACGCAAATGTATGGCCAAAACAGCTGCTGATTCGTTTAGACGCCTACTATAAATTTCTTGAAAGCTCTGGAAGCGTTCCGTCGTGTATCCTACGTTGATCACCTTAAAAATGGCGTTGTTTCAACCTTTTTACAGGGTAATATTGAAAAGAAGGAATCTTTCTTTCCATAGCGATAAGAGTTTAAAAAGCCTGTCTTCCTGTCCTAGACTTGATTGATAAGTATACAATTTCTGTGTACTTTGCAATGAACGTGTGTCTTTAGCCGCCGAAATGACGATTAAAATTCTTCGTTCGTTCGAGGACCCCCTTTCTAAAAAGACTCATTCGCGTTTGATTTACCGTTTTCGATTTACCAGACGTAGCTAAAACTGCCTGAATGCGCAAATCAAAAACACAGCTCGTTTTCTCTTCATTCTGCCGGTAATCTCCGTAATACTACAAACGACACCTGCAAGCCCCAAGGATAAATTAAAACTAAAAAATGTCATTTGCGATTGCAATTTTCCTACGCAAGAAATCAATTTTTATTTGCATCCGTAGCTAATTCATCAAACATTCTGGTGAATTTTTATATTGATTTATTACAAAGCAAAAGCAGAAAGAAATTAATTTGAGGGAAGCGTTTGTTTTCCGCCCATAGCTTGACGGACGTTTTTGACACTCAGGCGAAAATTAAATATGGTGGGATTAAACAGTAAAATATGATTTGAATATATAACGGCAGGTGGGGCATTGAGCTATATTTTCCTCGAATAAAAAGAGAAGAACGATGGGTTCGAAAACGTTGTTACAACCTGCTCCTTTGTTAAAACTGGAAGTGTCATTGAGCAACAGCAGATGAAAATCTACTCTAAATCTACTTTAGACTTGCCTTCGTTCATAGGGTGCATCACTTCAAAAAAAGTCGTTAAATCTAATTGACCACCAGTTCCAAACAATTTATAAGCAACTATTTTCTTAACCAACTAGCTGCTGGAAAAATACATGTCAGAGTAGACAATGCAAAGATTCTTCAAGAATTAATTTAAAATGGAAGTGGATATCCTAAAGCTCTACTGCTCAATGATGATAGAAGGGTTTGGATAAAGAAGCTTCTCAGTTGACAATGCCATTTACAGTTAAGCGCAGATCCGGATAATAACTATTAAAGTTACTTAGGGCTTTTTGCCTTGATGCGCACTTTTCCTCCAATTCATATAATTTTAACATTTGAGTGAAGCCGAAAAGTTAATTAAGACATTCTTATCTATCAGGGGAAATTGGTGTTAAATCTATCAGATCAAATTGACGCTTCGAAGTCTTCGAGACGTAGTGGGTATTAACAAAGAAAATAACAATATTTTGTTTTCAACCGATGCCAAACGTTGTAGTTTAAGATCCGGCTGTAATTTTCCACGGATATGTCATTTTCTTTCAGATCCTAAACGAAGGAGGTTGTTAATGTTGCCGTCCAAATAAAACTCAAACTCAGGCGTTCAAAAACAAATAAAGTTACCACAACTATCAAAATACAAACCATGTCATTGGCAACAGGATTATTGAAACAAGCTTATATGAATATATTCAAAGATGAAATATCGCAAATACCTCTCATCGTCAAAAAAATGTATGTAACAATACTCGAGGATAAATGAATCTAAAAGCGGCATTAGAGAAGACGAACAACATATTCATGTTTAGTTGTTATAAAGCCAGAGACGTGATGAATTTACATGAAACTGAACCACGGAAAAATTTTTAGTCAAAAATGCATCCTGATCGAAGTGATTTGATAACTAAGGATAGAGAATTATTATTCAACGTGTTAACAAGCTATATTATAAAATTCAAGCTTCATTTTATGTATATTTTTGCTTATGTAATCTTCATTAGATTTGTAATTCGTTATGAACAATTCGAATTTATGGTCAATTTCGATCTGAATACTATATGAATACCGACATACCCAGGATTTTTTAGACAAGAACTCAGGTGGAAGAGATTAGGGTCACTGAAAATTTGTTGGTTCTTATCATAAGCGAAAAGGATAAAATGCATTCGTTTGTTTAGTTCATTTCTGCCTGTTCAGTTGTCATGGTAACGAAGAGCGTCTCACAGAAAAAAAAATCACAAAGGGGCCATTTCTTGAAAGTATCGCCACGGGACGGTCTTGAAAGAGCCTTCTTTTTTTTCCTTTTTTTCCAAGACCGAAATATGGAAAGTTTTGAAATTCAAACAAAAAAAAATCAGTAATGAGCTTTCATTAGAATAAAGTAATGCAAGCACCCAAATGATTTGTAAACTATATTTCTAGCATGTCTTCACTCCAAATTAATATGGATCACAAGTGTAGCTCACATAATTTGATTTTAATTGTAAAAAAGTATTCAGGACTTGAAGAATCTTAACTGGTAAAAAAGTTTACAAGGATGAAGTCTTTTTATGGTTCAAGATTAGTTTTATTTTGGTTTTGTCACCAATTTTTCCCTCATTTAGTAGTGGTGTTGATAATTAAATGCCAGTGTTTTGTTTTGATTTCACTTTGATCGGCTCCAGCTTGTTGTCCAACAACGTTTCGCCAACGTTTACCGAAGGCTCATAGCGAGCAACAACTACGAAGCAGATTCTTCCTCCTGATGGTGATATAAAAAATAATGTTTTAGTTTCAAGCCTCTGCAGATTTACAAGTACTTCAGCAAAGCACGTAGACACTAGTATTAAACATAAGTTACCCTCTTTGTTATAATCCCACGAAATTTCTCCTAATGTCTCCCCTCCCCCCTCCCCCCTCCCCCCACTTTTCACGGTTGAAGGAGCATGTAACGTTGACGTTAACGTTAGAAAGAATAATAGAATTGATCACTCACTATTATCGATGAACTGTGCTCTACCAAAACCGACTTTTGTGGTATTCTTCCAAACGATTGGAGTCAATCGTTGTATCGCTGGGGTTGCTGGTTTCTTTTTCCAATCAAACTTCTTACTTTCAGCATACCAAAGATTAGTCGCTCGAGCTCCTGTCAAAGGTGAGCCTGCATGAACAGTAGAGAAGAGAGGGGTTATGCTAAGCCACCAATGCTACAATTCACATCGCTGCCTGGACGTGGAATTTGGTCAAATTCATCAAAATACCGTAAAAGTATCGTTTGAACACATTCCTTAAATCAATTTGAGGAAAAGTCGTATTCAAACATTATCATAGCTAGTCTCACTAGACAAAAAGTTAAAAAAAAATGTAAAAATTAATTTTATCCCAAACACATGCCTGTAAAGGTCGCCTAGATAACGATTGTAAGGGGAGGATTCTAACCTTTAAACGAGCAACGAAGGGCGATGTTCTCTCCATGTCCTACCCTGTTTTTCAAAAGAGAATGCGTTGTGTTCCTCTGCTTTGCCAATTCCGATGCAAAATTCTGAGCTTCCATATTGAGCCTCTCGTCTTCAGTCAGCGGTGGCACTCCATTGAGCAGGCGCTTTTTATTGTGTTCATAAAGGAATTGTTGTCTGAACCTGGCCATTGGTGTCCCTGTTAGAAACAGGGAAACAGGTTTAATCTAAGAACATAATCCAGCATATGATTGTGCATTTGTGTGTTGCGACACATCTACGTATCCAGGGAAGCATTTAGTCACGAGAGGGAGCGGGGAAGGTAACCTGCAAGAGGATCTCAGTAGGGTACCGTTAGTAGTAAAAACGTAAAATAAAAAAAACCGTTGGGCGTACTATTCTTCTTAAAGAAATATAACCTTAAAAATCTTTCCAGTAACCCCAACGGAAAGAAATTAACCTTTGGCCGTTAAATTACCAAAATTTTGACCGTTAGCCGTAAAAGCCATCACTCCACCGAGACCCTCCTGCAGTGGATTACCCACCCATCCAGTAGGAACGATAACACCATGGTTACGTGCTAAGGCAACCGGAATAAGCCCTGAAAATAGCCAGTTAACATTCTGTATTTATTTCCGCTGAGTGTCAACCTACCTGGTACGTTAGTCTTCAGGTTAGATCGTACGTTGTGTAACACGCGCCTCTTTGGGACAATGAGAAAGGAAGGGACGACACCATAGTTCCTAGCAGGTTGTTGGATCCCGTTTGAACGGGTCCTCTGTGAGCTTACCGCAGAAGGAATGTTCCCTTGAACCATTCCTTCCTGAATTCCGGCAGATGAAGCTGGAGTAGTGGCTGGTTCGAGATTGACATTTGGCACGAGTTTGACTTCATGAGCCACGTACTCACCGGAATTCACTTTCATGGCTGGTGATTGCGCTGCCGTTTGTTCGGTCTCTAGTGTTACGGCTTCTGATTGATCGGGCTTTTTCTCTGGGAAAGACGACAATTGCGACCAAAATTCAGATTATCCTTTTCCTTTTGTCCAAACATCCACACGTGTGGCTGTTGAACATTAAATTGCTTAACATTATATTTCTGCTTTGTCTACTGGACCCGTTTCTCGAAGTCCCGGTAAGTTTACGGGTCCGAAGCCAAATTTAAAATCAAAATTTAAAGCATAGAGAAACCGGTTCTGTCACTCTAACAAATACAGTTTGTTCCTTTAGCCAACAGTTTATTGCATAATTTTCAAAACCTGCATCTTGAATGAAAACAGAACAGCTTTACGGGCCAGTTAAATTACCGGGACCTTCGAGAAACGAGCCCCAGGCCCGGCTATGCCACACTGATTGAGCAAGTCAATCATCGTTCTCGTGCTACAACAGTTCTACTTGGTGCAGATCTTCTATTTTCTCTAAAAATTTGGCTCTGGACCCAAAAACGAAAATAGTCTTGCATTGTTGGAGTCCCACTGCGAAAGCATTTAATCGCTGTTCACTAGGGGGTGAAATCGTTGGTCTTTATTGCCGGGAAAAAAAACTATTTGCCTGCAAGTGTTACAGCGTTGGATTATTGAAATTCATTGACTTCGAAATGAGTATTGTCTCATATTCATTGTTAGATGGTTCCATCTTGGTTGTCAATCTCGGTAGAATTGCTTCGTTTATTGCCCAGTCACAGTTACAATACTTGTGATGTACATATGTGAAAAAATCTGGTTTTTTTTTTGTTTGTTTTATTTTTTGTAATTAGAAGGCTACGAGAGTATTTTGGTTCTTTTTGACTGATCGAGAGAATTATGTTCGGCTGAAATTCTTCAGATGTAAGTTACAGGAAAGCAGGCTAGACAGGAACGATACCTCCATCCATGACAAGCTTAAGATTGAGCAGTAAATTTATCGCTGGGTGTTGTTCTTTATTCTGTTCAGTTACAGGAAGCAAATATGTGCCCTCGGGCGCCTCTGAAGCTATGGCGGCTGGAGCAGGATCTCGGGCGTCCTGACCTTTCAAAAGTGCCGGGACATGGATGGTAACTGAAACAGACACATATAGTTAATAAGATCATGCACGCTTTATGTTGAAATGACAATGGAACGACACGATGTCGCGCCAACGTGCGTGAATTTGCCAAAAGTGCGCATTTGTTTTGCTTAGTGGTTTTTCATTTGTAAGTCATTCAGTCTTTGCACCATTTTTTCTAAACAAAAACATGTCGTTTCTTTTCCATTATGTGAACGAAAAAAGTTGATGAACTCTTTCACACTCTCCCCCTGACATAAATATCAATCAGAATGAATAAGTAAAACTAAACTGATTCTTACTTGGAGCCGTACTGATAGTCTGCATTCTGTCATCTCTTTTACCAAGTAGGGGTTGAGGCGCAACTTTTTTTCGGACTAAATCTAAAAAGAAATAATGAAATTGATGAACCACAAAATGTCGTCGTCGTCAAAATTTTATGTCTGGCTAAGGTCTTTAGACCTAAGGGCGATATGGAAAAAAAAATTCTCTACTCTCGTTCTCATCGTCTTCGTTTTGACAACTTCGTACTTCCTCTAAAACACTTCAACAAAGCACAAACTATTTTATGCTTTAAAAATCCTCGAAAAACTTTGTTCCGTTTTCTTCATTTTTAGTATCCCCGCAATTGCCATGCGTATTTTATTCGACAACCATTGCTTTTTTTATTTTTTATTTCTCAGACTTCTTTGAAGTTAATGAAGCAGATAACAGGTGGATACACGACGATGAAAAGCGAAATTAAATGTGTTCATGTGATCTGTATTACATTGAAGGTTAAAATACTAATGTTTACAAATCACACCTAACGTTCATTTTTAAATATATAGAATGATTCATTGCTCCCCAATCCATCAGAGCAGGAAACATAATCAAGTACATACTTCAAATTTCGTCTGTGGTTTCAGCAAATTTAGGTTGAATTTTCTGTACTGATCCATGAATTTGGATGTTGGTATAATTCAGTTCAGTTGTCTGGTATAAGTGCATTGAAAAGCTTTGTATCCGATGTATAGAATTACATGGGGTATGGATATAGAATAAACATTGAGCTTACCTGCTGTGGTTGAAACCCAATAAGTAATAAAGAAACTCCATAACAAGAACAACATTTCGGGTTTAGTAAGCCTCGGGGCTTCAATAAAAGATTATACAAATTTAATACAGTCGATTTGAAAAACAAAGCTCTGCAGTCGTTCTGCGAAGTAATAGATGCGGGGGCTGAAGAACAGATGATGAGGAACAAGGTAACTAGTTTGTCTGTGACCCTTGTAACACCCAGCCATGCCACCAGAAGGGGAAGTGCTTTTAGCGGGTTGAACTTTGTTGGAAATCACGAACCAAAACAAAGTTGCCACCCGTACATGGAGTAACTGAAAGTGAACACCGGACATCCAAGTGGACACGACAACTGAGAAGCATCGTGAAGCAATAACTCCGCACTGATTCATCTATTTAAATCCAAATATTTCTTTAGTCATTTTTTTCCATCGAAGGAGAATTTCAACAAAATAACATCACTATCCCTCGGATCCAGAAGAAATGCTTTATTGTGAATCATTAATGTAACTTTCTTAGGATTCACAAATGGAAGATCTAGAGGTCATAAGCTCTTATCGATACACGTACTCGATTTTACTCTTTCCTCCTGACAGGCATGTTACGAGTTTTTCCTTTATATAGGATCGTTGACCCGTAGATTTCAATTATGATACAACTTAACTAAGAATTCAGTGACTGAATTGAGGATACAATATCTTCTCCTACTAAATCCTACAAATCCATAAGACCGCCCATGGTACAAGGACATTAATAAGGGGGGGGGGGGGGCTCTCTGATTGAAATATATAAAAAGAATGGGCCATTAGTAAATTATTCATAGCATCAGAGCCACTCATATGCAATTATTTTCACAGACATCATCATACCTTCCATCATTTATTGCATACAAAGTAAAGTGATGTTTGATTTTATTTATTAGCTTTTACATCACTCAGATTTGCATAACCTGAGTTACTCGTTCAGCCTTTGCTCAGAGACCTTTTTCGTGTCCATGAAAATGTCAACCGTCGGAAAATTTTTCGAAACGAAATTTATTTTTCATGTATGAAGAAAAAACAAGTTTTTCTTTCATATGAAAAGAAAATAAGCGATTACTGGTCAATCATTCATGTGTAAGCCTTTAGTCAGAGCGAATAAAGTAGGGCTGACGCTCGAACGCTAGCTTAGAAACTCCTTGCTGATCAGCTCAGTTGATGAAACCAAATTTTCTTGTCATACTCCTCCACTAACGAAGCACCACAGTTTCTCTAGAAACTTTCCCCCTTTAATCATCGACGTATCTATTTTCAAAACTTCACAGCTTAATAAAGATTACACTTCTGAGATATTCATTGTTAGTACAATATACTGGGAAATGCATGGCTGGAATTTATAAAAACAATAAGGGAAATTTTTTAGCTGTATGCAGTTTGATATTTTAAAGCAAACCCGCGCTTACCACCTGTGGAAAGCAAAGTAAACTGCATTCTAGGTTACCAGTTCACTCAATCATAACTGGAGGGATATTGATTGAATTTATTCATTGAGTGCTGAGTATTTTTACCACTTTAACTGTTTTAAATATATTAGTTTGCCCATCAGTCGCTATCGTCATCAACCATAGGAAACTTTAGAAACCGCTATTCACCGAAAATGGGGTTTCTTAATATATTAATTTGTAATTAACTACTGTCTACCTAAAATCAACAAGTGTAATTCAGACTTAATGTTAGTTTAGCTAAAGATTCAACTAAGTTGATCAATTGATCTGACCATTGATGATACAGGTCGCTTTCGATAGAGGATATAGGGAAACTCAAAAGTTAATTAATTTACTTCCTATAGTTTCCTTTTAAACGCCAGTTATGTGGACTCATACTAAAAATCCACAAAAGATCACTGTCCTAAGATAAGCGCATGGATAAGACAGTTGCACTATGGGGCGATGTTTGATTAACCTAATTCCGAGTCTTGTTTACATGAACCTTTTTCTAACCCAATTTCACATTATTGAAATGGGGAATTTGCGTATATTGGTATTTGCGCTAGAATGGCACCGGTCGAGGAAAGCAGAACCATAGAGAAAATTATTAAAAAGAGTCGATCAGCAATCTTAGATACAAAGATCCAGAACTCCCTGTCCAGTTCAGCGTCTTCCTCTTTCTTAGATCTCCTCGCGAGCTCACTAATTCCCTCCGTGATTTTTGTCAAGGTGCTTGGGGGCTTGGCGATTGTAGCAGGCAGCTTGCTCGGTGACAAGTTTACCGGTTTAAATGTTTTTGCTCCCACCAGCTTGATGCAATTGCTTTCAAATTCCTCCACCTTGAAATGAAATTAAGAAAGGGAAAGGGAATATTTGAAATCAGTTACTGGAATTATGATCACCAAACGTCAAAGTTTTCTGGTACATTGTTTGGTCGTTTCTGGTTTCAGCGGAAAGTTTACTATTAAATGGAGTCTTTAAAAGACAGAGCAGAAATATTTTTTATTGATACACCCTCTATGGCTGAGCTTCACCATTGTGAAATTTGTATCAGTTACTGCTCAGCAAGTGAACCGATGTGTACTTATATTGCACACGAACCAATGTATATGTATAAGCTAACCTTTAATTTAAGACCAAAAAAACCATATGTATTCATACTTTTAAATCATGAGATTGGAAGTTGAAATTACTAGCTCAACAGGTAGGATGAGCTGTATTTCGGAGGAAATTATACTGTCAGCGGCGTCTTTCTTTGGCTTTATTTTCCCCGTGCAGATGTCACCAGTTGAGGACAATTAACAGCCCTCAGGAAGATAATATAATAACCTCAATACCTTAACATCCACTCGTCTTGTGGACCTGACGTTAGCTTTTGGATGTCCGGTGTTGATGCACAGCATTCTCGCCAGATAATGAAGAAAGAATACTCGAACCCACTGTGGCATCTCCGTCTTCTTGTAACTATTCAAGGATATGCAGTTGGCAACCAAGGTGCCACCAATCTGAAACATTGCAGCCAGCAATATTTTAACAATGATAGGCGTAGCATCTGATGTTACTGGAATGCTATCTGAGACATTAAGGATAACCACAGACATGGCTAAGAATGACTCTATGACAAGAGTCACTCGTTCGCCGGATTCCGGTGGAAATGCAAAGGTCAGGACTGAGAAGGAAGTGACCACCATACAAGGAATGATGATATTGAAGAGGAAGAAGCCAGGTATACGGCGCATATGGACGTAGAAGGTTATGTCAGGATATGGTTCTGGGCAGCAGCTGCAAAAAGAAAGTAGAAAGTTCTTAGGTACAAACACATGAAGAAACACCTCAAAGGAAATCGAATCACACACAGTCACTGTTTGAAAAGAAAATTGTTTGTTGCAGAAATCGACCTCTTCAAACAATTGGTATCAGCTAAAAAAATTCATCTTGATTCATGACTGCTATATTCATCCTTTTCTAAGTCAAAGTATTATGTTTTCCATCTAAAAAAAAAACTTTAAACACATAATAGACAAGCACAAGAGACACCCAACTTTCAGATCAATGCATGGTTGGATGTTTAAACAGTTGTGGTCTGTTAACTGTTAACGCACGAATGCTGGCAATTCCTGTAATGTCTCTACTGCCCGCTGATGGCGTGTGAATGTTGCCAATTTTTCACTAGTGAGCTGTACTTACTTCAATTTTTATTCTCAAGCAATTTACGCCAATTGCAATTTGTTTGTTTAATTTAAACCAAACAACCCAAATATCAGTCGCAACTCAGTTTTGTTTACCGTCTCGGCAGAATACACAGCCATGCCAGTATTTGTCAACCGAAACTGTCAACGTACCTTTCTGTTGCTGGTATATCATTTGGAAAGTCATGTACCTTGAGAGCCGTGTGTCTGTTTTCCGTGAGTGTACCCGTGGCTAGTAGTTGTTCTAGATGGTCACGTGTCTTGGTGTGGACTTCGCTTTCCATGTTCATCAGTCTCTGTGGCATGTTTCGATTATCCAGTCACTTTAAACGGTAGGTCCAGTTCTTTTTGGGGTTGTCTCTTCATGTATTCAATTCATGGTACAAGGACAAATCTTCGGTCCGGTGGCTTAAATTTCTTAGGAAAGTTATGTTCTAAGCAAATGCAACATTATAGTTGAGGTTGCCTCAGAAATCCCAATGGATCAAGAGACGTTTTACTTACAAGGACAAGTAGAGTAAAACCTCTCGGCAGAAATTTCGACCCGTAACCTATTCCCTTCGTATTTCTCTCACTGTAGTTCTTTTTAAGAAGTTTCACTTATTTTTCTACTTAAAAGAGGAGAAAAAAATGAAAAATCTATTCTAAACAGTACACATATAAGTTTTTCAGTTAGAGGGGAAGAGCTGCATGAGTTGCTAAGAAAAGACTTATGTACTTTGACGTTGTCACTAAGTTAATTCCAGAGATTTTTGGGCAAACCTTGATTGCCAGCGATTCTACAAGACTTTCCGAGGCTCGCAAAACCCAAGGAGAATTCAAAATATTTTTCTGCCTGTATTAATTAATTATGCGATAGTTAACAATAGATAAAAGCAAACGGCTCATAACAATCCGTTTTGAAATTCCCTACGCTTTTGATATAACCAAATTCCCGAAAAATAATACTCGAAACTCTTTGAAACCTTTCTTGCCAAAGAACTTTATCCTGAATACCTCATACTTATTCCTAGTGTCTGTGTTAATGTATTAGGTTTTTAGGTAGCACTTTCTCGTCAAGCTACACGGGTTCCTTAGTTCAAAGTGGGTTTCGCTGTTGTTAATTGCCTTACTCGAGTACTTGTGGATAAAGTTCATTCTGGCGAAGCTATTTTTCGCTGCGTAGGTGGCGTACATTTTATCATGTTTGGGTCGGGTTTCTCGGCGTTTGCTGTCGATAATTTGAGAAAGGAGAAATCGTGATAAGGGAAATAGTAAGAACTGAAACAAGACGAGACAAAATGAGGATAAAAAAAAATCTACGAAAAATAATATTTGTTTCCATCATCATTTCTTGAACCTAATATCAATAATTGAAGCCTTTGGAAATAATTGAGCTGGAGGGTGCCAATATCCTATGTAGATCTCACAGTAATATATTAGTTGCAACTGTACTGATGTGAGCATTTTTTTAAGGCGACAAAAAGTATCTGAAAGTCCACGATTTCGTGCGAATATAAATGGTTTATCAAAATTTTAGAATGTAAAACGTGGAAAAATGTCAACACCGCGGTAGATAAGTATTGTCCCAAGTTCAGGTTTAAAATTTTATAGTGTTGACTTTTTTTTCTACAATGCAACTGGCAGAATTTAATGTTTATATTGAAGAATTAAGGAGTTGTTTTCAAATTTCCGCGATAGTATCTTTGGGGAGGGGAAAAATACTTTCCTATGACTCCACGCTGAGATGATGATAAAAATAATGCAAAGGTAGAAAGTTTTCTCGTAAATCTGAAATTTGTTTTGATAAAAAATAGTATAAAAGTTGAAACACTCCTGTCGATGAATGTTCCTTTATTTTAGGTATAACTAAAAAAATCATTCTATTCATCCATGTTGACGGTTGTTTTTTGAAAAATTGACATCCTACAACACTCAGCAGAAGACTCAAAGAGCAAATTATTTCGAGATTCAAGGAAGTGGGAGCTGATGAACTAGTGAAACTGTTTCTGACCATTTTTAATGGTCCTCTGCCCTATAAAACATTCAGTTCATACAAATCCTACAGTAATGCATGATGTTTCAGGGGTAAATGCAACTTACTGTATCACAAGATGAAGCGGCTCTAGCCAAACAACGAAAAGATTATGTGTTCAATCAGAGATTTAAAAATAACATTCTTCCATTTTCGATTGAAAGACTCCATTATTCATAATTGTTTCGCATTAGAAAACGACAAACTTACGTTTTTTAAAACGCTACAATCATACAATCTTATTTCTCCTGGGTAGGAAAGCCCTTAGTCTTGTAAGGTTACATATTTCTTTTTTTTGTTTATTACTCTGAGGCCAATTTCCAAGATTCATATCAATTATCTTACTAAGCAAAACGTAAACTCGTAAGTCATAATCGATGACACTTTGCATTGTCCGTCGTTCAGAGAAACTCTCAATTTCACAGAAATCAAAGATTAATGACTCAGTTCTGACCCTATAATATAAGTTTCTTGCTTAGTCCTCTTACTGGAAACCACAATCGCGGTTAGCTACGATCCTACAAGAGTAAATTATAGTGATCTGGCACTTGAGCAAATATTGCACACGAAGAACAGACGAACGCTATGGAAAATATTAGCAGGAAAACGCGGTCTACAACTCGTGACACGAAAATCCAGAATTGACGATTGGCACGGTGTTCTTCATGGTTGATTTCAGACTGTGCAAGCTCCGCGAGTCCATCTGTAACCTTTGAAGGAAGGTCCTGGGTTGATCGAAAGAGAGCTGTGTGATGATGAGTCGGAGATTTTAAGGAGTGTCCACCCGGTGATCCCAGGGGTTTTGTTCCCGAGAGTTTTCTGTCCTCGAGAACCGTCAGTTCCGCTGGTCGACCTTTCACAAGATGTGAACGTTTTTCAATTTTGTCCTTCGGTTGGCCCGAATTAATGCACAAACATCGGGCTAAGTAGTGGAGAAAAACCACTCTCACCCATTGGGGCATCCGGTACTTTCTGTAGAGGTTCAGTGAAATGCAGTTTGCGATCAGAGCACCCCCTATCTGGCACATGGAAATAATCAGAAACTTTGTGATGAGAGGAGCGTTGTCGGAGGTAACAGGAACGCTATCAGAAACCATTAGAACGACGAATGACAGAGCTAAGAAAGATTCAATTACCAGAGTCACTCGCTCGCCGATCTCTGGTGGGAGGACAAATGTCAGCACAGCTAGTGAGGTTATCACCAAGCAGGGAATGATGATATTGTAGAGGAAAAATCCAGGCTTACGACGAAGATGAAGGAAGAATGTCACATCTGGATAAGGCTCCGGGCAGCAGCTGCGTGTAATAGAACACAATATTACAGTAGGATCTTGATGCCATGTGCAACGTGCTCGGTGGACTTGCATGCTTTGTTATACGACTTGCATCGTTCATATAAATTCAAGACTTATTCATTTAAAATTTGACCAGCAACATAGACTAATTTACCTGCCAGCTCTAATGAGTGCAAGAAGTGCAAGTGAGGTCTCACAAGTCAAAAACCCTGTTTTATGCATTCTTCAAGCTCGTTTTAACAAAGGAGAAAATTGATTGAATATTATTTTCAAAAAAATGCGGTCTATGAGATTCGGAAAGAAATATTTTGCAAACTTAAAATAATTTTAATGTATCACTAAAAAGGAAATTCCAAAGTCCCAGAGGCCGAAATACATCGTATGCCGCTGTTATTATTGGAGATCACTACCCGATTGTTGGTTTCTGTATATAATATCAGTTTAGGTTATCGTGATTCGTTTTTGTCCCGTCTTATGTTATTAATGCAACTATTACGAGTTTGACGTGAGTTCGATATGAGCTGTGATATATTACCTGTGCGAATTACAGCTGGATAGAAACATGCCTCTATAGAACATAGATACAGAGGACTTCTTATAAATTTGGAAACCAATTTGAATCACAGATTTACCATTCAACCAGGATCGTTAATTCTTGTTTCGCCTTTCTCTACTTCCTTCATGAAAAACCTTTATGATGACCAAACCAATTTTATCATCATAAAATTGTTTTATGAACCGACTTAAGTTATTAAATTGGCAACAGTAAAGAGTTTGTTAAGCTGACGTTTCGAGTGTCAGATGACTTCAGCTTTTAGATGCCCTTTACGGTGGCCAATTTACTTTTACATACTAAGTTTGTGAAACCAATTTATCTTGTTTTACCCCCAGCCATGGTAGAAACTTGCCCCCTCTTTCCAATTTTATATTACGTCCAGTGTTACGCCGACTGAACAAAGTCTTGCATAAAAGATTGTAATTTCCTTTTCTACAAGTAAGCTTGTTACTTGCAACAAGAGAAATCAGAAGGGGGTCTACTCCGATTTATCAAAAATAAAATTTCTACATTAGCCATTAATAGTTTGAGGCTATTGTTTGGTGAAAAATTTACCTGTACTTGGCTACGTTTCTCTTAGCCTTGGCAGAGATAAGCTCAAACTCGGAACTCTTCATGTAGAAATTAAGGTCTGCTGTATCTCGCATTTGAACAATGTTCACTTCAAGTCCGTGGTATGTCCAGGAACCGAATTTAAGCTCACAAATCTGGTCGTCAAACGGGAAGTAAGTGATGTCGATGTTGCAACTACTGCGAAGTATAGTTGGGGCGTACCACGTACATGATCCGTCTGAAGTCAAGATCACTTTGGTTTTAAAGAGGTATAGAGTTCCACTTGGAAGCAATTCCTCCGCACTGACGAAAAATATTTTCTTAAAGTGAGCCATTATGTGTTTATTGGTTGCAGTTTATGGCCGCTAACATATGAAAACCGATAGGTTTTTAATTGAACTCGCATGTTTTTCTCCGGAAGTCTTTATTAATGATGTTTGGCTAGACTCTCGGTTGAGAAAGAATTGTTGCATGTTTTTCTCCGGAAGTCTTTATTAATGATGTTTGGCTAGACTCTCGGTTGAGAGAGAATTGTTGCGTGGATTCTGTCCTACCTATTCATAAAACATGTAGATACTGGCCATGTCTGGAGTGAAAATGCATTCAATTTGAGGTTATATACCTATAAGGTATAAGCAGCTAGTAAGGCAATCTCTAAAAAGTCACAAAAATTTCACCTTTTTGACTTAATTCTTTGCAATACGCAACAATCCCTCATTTTTCTAATGTTCTGCAAAACGGTGGCAATTTTCCGCTTGGGAAATATACAAAGATAAAGATCCTCTATAGGTTATTTGAAAATCCTCTCCAGTAAAAAGTGACTGATGGCTTTTTCAACTCGACCATTTCTTTTTCTATCTTATCATTTTACTATGACTTACTTATTGTGAAGGACAATGTCGGGAAGCCAGACCTTATGTGGACTCAGGTTAATTGTTTTTATTCCTCCGTACTCAGAAGCGTTCCATTTTAGAAGATGGTTGTTCCATGCCTAGTGTTTAATAATGATAATATAGTAATAATAATAATATTAATAATATAATAATAACAACTCTCTTTGTGAAGGGTAACATTTAATAGTAATTAATGGAAACTGATGAACTGTTGGCCCTGGATCCCGGCTAAAAGTAACATAATTAGAACTAAAATGTATTCAAGGATTATAAAACTGGTCAACAGGTCTACGATAGATCAAAGAACTTTTTTGGGTAATACAAGCTTTTTTAATATAACAGCTACAAGTACGTGCTTTATGTAAAAAAAATTGTTGGAATACTCGGGAAAAAAAAAAACGGTGATCCTCACTTCGCTTTCATATTTTGGTATTCACTGTAACAGAGAAGATCCTAAGTGATGAAAGTAAAAGAGTATGATGAAGGTAGTAATGAAGCAACAGCTTTGGAAAGAACCAAATTCACCAGTGTAACCTAAAGTGGAAAACTACGGAAGATGTAGTTTTACAAGCTATTCAGTCGGCTTTCATTTCTTCAGTCTGGTATAGAGTGCAAGAGTGGTTACTTACCATTCTGACCCAGATGTTGCTTACAAGCACTTGATCTTTCTCGATCTGTTAGGTTTTTGACAAAACAAAAGAAATCGTGGTTTTCGACTTTATTTTCGAAAATAGATAACTGTCTTCAGTTGTCTTATAATTAGTATAAAAAAATTAAAAGAAAGAACAATAAAACTTGGATTTCACATCCAAAAGTTGGCTCTTCGTCCACTTTTTTCAGAGAAAATGGATATGACGCAAAAAGTAGAAGAAGGTAAATTGTATAGCTTAGAGAAACACAAACAAGCAAATTCAACTCATATGCTTCCGTGATGGCAAATTTGATTGGCAGTTATATCGCACTCTTTCAATGTAACTAGGAGCTTGGGCTTTGAAAATATCATTCTTCAAAAAACATACCAGGTCAACAATCTGTGTGTACGCAATACCAAATTTTACTTCAATGGGCAACTGCTTATCTTCTGTTGGACGGACAGTCTCGTTGTAGCCCTTGAATAGATCTTTCACAAGTCGTGCTTCGTCGTCATCCACTTCTAATTCTGATTAATGAAAGGGAAATAATTGACATCAACAAACGACAAAAAAAAATGTTTCTCTTACCTTAAGTGCAATGATAACAAGCAACCAACGATACCTTATACAGCAAGTAAGGTTGTAGCACACGACTCTGAAGACATTGCTGCGCTAAATTAGATAGTCGTAAAAACTGCCAGCTTCCCAAAGAGAGGAGAAAGAGCTTACACAGATCTCCAGCCTTCTGTGCACTTAGCCGTGTATCTCTCGCTTTTCGTTGTCATCTGCTAAAGTCTGTTGATATTACCGCTTACGAGTGGGTATCACTTACCATCACTGATAATGGGATGGGATTCGTTTACGCTGGCATTGAAAGCTTGCTCAGACAATCCTTTTCCTAGTTTGAAAAAAAAATTATCATAACGTTAGGGAAAACGATTCCGTAGAGCATTTACAGGGAATTATATATCCTCAGTTAACTTTCTCTACTTTTAAATTAGTGCACTCCCGCTTTGTTTGCCTTTAAGGTCGAGGGATTTTTGTGCTTATGCGACTTCCCTCCAGCAGTTTTGTTTGTCTCAAAATTTGAAACTTGCACGAGAATTATCATTTACATCATAAACAGTTGAATCATTTAAACACCTTTATGTTTCAATTACAGTTCGGTTTCTTGATAGCGCGATTCATATCGAACCTGAAAACGAGAAAGAAGGTACGGGAAACATATTTTGGAACCGAATAAAATCTAACGTCACACATTATTTCACTTTGGATGCATTCGCAAATGTTGCACGAAAGATTCGTATAAGACTCTTATACGACGGTTAGTTATTCAGCAAAATTTCAAGCAATACAGAGCTTGTCATAGTTTGTGTGATCGCCAATATTTTGGCCAAGGAACGAGGAAAATGCGCTATAAAAACAGTGGGAACTGCAAATGAAATTACTAAAGCAACAATATTCGGACTGCTTTAATCTTACAGGGGCTTTTTATATATAAAAAAAATTAAGCGAGCTTTCTTGCGATAAGGAAGTTAACTGATAAGATTTTGACAACGGCAGAACCACTGTAGCCAAAATAGAACCCCCATAGACGAAGCGGGCAAAAATGTCGTTAAGCTTCCTCAAAGCATTAGACTGATTTCATTACTAGGAAAACAAAATATATTCGTTATCTTTTTCTTCATGCTATCAAGTTTACAAAACATTCTAGAAGTAACGCCGAATCGCTATTTCAACTTTTGTTTGATCGACCAACGAAAGGATATTTTGAATTGAATTTCAATCCATTCCAGAAATTAATTATTCATACTGTAACAAGTCTGGCAGAATAAAATTCAGAAATCCAGTAGCCGAACTGATTTTATAGATAAATCATTTGAGATACACCTTGAAAGACGATTGCGAACACCTTTGATTTACGCAAAACTCCTCTGCTGCCGGTTTCATCTTCATATATAAGGATAAACTGTTTCATTTACTCCGTGCTTCTGTCATTCGCCTCCAACGTCGCTATTGTTTGATTATAGTAATGTGTCGAAGATGGAATCTATAATATCTTGACACATCAGCGAAGGGAACTGAATGCTGCAAAACAATTTCTAATAAACTTCTATCGCGGCAAGAACGTGTCTAAATTTTCTTTTGAAATTTCGGGCAACACCATACGAAAGACACGGAATCCTTATTATTCTACAAAAGGAATGTAAAATTTTTCATTTAGTTTAACATTACGATATAAACCACAATCAAAATATTTGTATGTACTTGCATCCTTGTGGTGATGCGCTCATCCAGTTTTCTTATTTGCTACGTATAAACGTCGCTGAATAACATTGAAAGATAAATTTTCTTGGTGAAAAAAAATAAGATTTGCTACACCTTTGAGAAAGTTTTTTTCGGTAGATTGGAGGTCAAGAAAAAGAAAAACGTAACTCAGTATTACCGTAGTTTCGTGTGCCCATCAGAGGGGAATAAAAGTAGACAGGCAATCATGACTTGTGAAAGTTTCACAGGCATCTGTTCTTCAACACTCGAAATAACTAGAAAGTTTTCCTCACCTAAGATAATCAGGATTGGATACAGAGAGATGAACGATTTTGGGATCACCATGGTTCGTTGATTTCTAAGGTTCTTTGAGAAGTCAGCTTGAACGTTTCTTTGGAACCGCAGGTGAAGTGGATGCAAAATAGTGTCGGGAATGAACGGAGTTTAGCCTGATTCTCCCTGCAAAACCAAAAATTGTGAATTATTAATAACAACCAGCTTCCTTCCCTTTATCGGACTGTGTTCACAGAGGCATTATCATAAAAGCATTATTATAAACATACTTCACACCACACCATTAAACACGTTTCGATTTTTTTTCTGGAATTTTGAAAAAAAATGTAGTTCCTGAGTACGGGCAACGAAAAATACGACTTTAAGAAAATCATGCAGTATGTAGCTAATCTTCTAATCTCCTATCAGCTGACAATCATTTCTTGTTCTTCATTCAGCACTCATTTAAGAAAGAATATTTAATGTAATATGGAGAAACTTTCCTGTTTGCCTATTCACAGGTATTTTAAGCTATTAGATACGAAATAGACTACTGTTCGTGTCGTGCTGAGTTTGTCAATAACACCCAGTTAGAATATTTACCTTTAAATTTGAATGAATAGTGGTTGCTTCTTCACTAAAGAAATAAAATTAAATATCCCTTTAGCATAAATGACCTGGGACATATTTTATTCAGTGCAATATCAGCTCCATACAAGATTAATCTTAATAAATTGAAAAAAAGAAAACAGGGTTATTTTTTAATTATGTTTAACTCGCCTTTAGTTTTAGTCTTCTGCGATGTAGCCTCGCTATAACTAATACAAATATTTCTTTGAGGAAAGAAAATACTTCATTCTTTCTCAAAAAGCTAATAATGTCACAATTTCTTCGCTGGCCAGCGAGTTCAGTTTGTCATTATTTTGCAAAAGCATACTCATAGGCTAATTATGCTTTACATAAGCCAAAGCAGCCAACCACAATAATTCAGGGAGAGTACAGTTGCATAGGTGGTCTGCCAGACTCGTTTTCATGTCCCCAGGACGAAAAAAAAAATTAGAAATCCATCGGGAAGGCCAACTAATTCTGTCATGTTAATTTATGTTCTTTTAAATTAATCTCCATGTACATCTTGAGCAAAATTAAAACTGTAACTAATTCTGTCATGTTAATTTATGTTCTTTTAAATTAATCTCCATGTACATCTTGAGCAAAATTAAAACTGAGCTTAAAACAGGGTTGAACATGAAGTTTATTAACCTTTCACTTATTTACAAAATTGTGCTTCGCATCATCATCAGTGCGAGAAAACACCCCTCTTGGAATATTAAAACTTTTTTTGATCTTAAAATATTGATTGGCTGGTCGACATTCTGTTTTTGACACAATTCACACTCTCATTTTCTTATTTCGCTGATACCATTCACGCAGCCACTTAACTTAGTAAAGAACTAGGTATATAAACGACAAAATGTTCCAAGTAGAATTAAATTGAAAGAATAAAAAAAACAAACTAATAGCAACAACGAATTAATCAGTTGGTCGTGCCAGTTAGAAATGCTTATTTCCAATATACTTGTTACCATTTACATTGTTAATTTGGATAAATCTTTTCACACCTGAAGAAATTTTACAGACCACACCTATGAACACAAAAACAGAAACTTGTAGCTTGTTTTCATTGTATTGGATCGTCAATAGCTGCTTACATTTTAAGAACTGATAAAATAATTATCTTTTGCCAATGTTTCAAATTTTTTCGAAGAAGAATCTTTTAAGGACCAGATTTTACGTCAAACTTAAGAAAAGGAAATCTTTAAGACCGACGCGTTTGAGTTTTCTTTAAGGATGGAAAGGTTTGAAAATAAGTCTTAGAAAGTCCTTGGGACTTGCATTTTCACTCCGAGAGGCCATACCCTACGTCGAATAAAAATACATTCCTTACTTTCAAAGAGTACCAGGTAGTTTTAGTATTAACACTAAAAACACAATTCTATAGGGTAGGTTGCACGTGAGAAGAACTCGAGTAAATAATTCCAACAACTCAAATCTAAAGCCAAAGAGTAACGTTGAATTTGTCAGTTTCAACAAACTTTTCCGATATTTTCCTTTACTAAAACAATTGCTTTTGCTCATTTACGAGATTTTATCCTTAATGCTAAAGAAAATAAATACATAAAATATATAGAACTTGGAGGGCTTAATTAAATCTAATCAATCTGGACAACTATCTGAACAGAAACTTGCAGAAGAATTTTTAAAAATAGATAGAAAAAAATTGAGTCGAAAAAGAGGAGAGAAACTTTGTACTTCTCAGTCGAGACCTGATGGGAAGATGCATCCAGTTCAAGTAATTTACACTTAAAAAATTTAAACATCTTTTAACTCATAATCATAATACAACGGTTAAAATATAAACAATTTGGAAAGAAAAGCGGTAGGCGGACGGCATACATAGGGAATTCTTAATGAGTATGTCAATTACTAGGCTTTGTCATTGGCGTCTCAAAGGAAGCCGACTTGGGAAGTTGATTTCAAGAAACGAGCCACTGAGCCAATGTTGCGTTCTTCAATGAGAGAAAAAATTGGCCAGAATCGTACCTCTGGTCGCAAACATTAGCTATCAAAACGATATTTGGTACTCAAAAACGATATTGAAATAAAAGAAGGTATTCCTGATTTTCGCGCCTTTGTTAAACCCCTCATTAGCAGATAAGAGTGTAATGCGCCTTTTCAATAATTTTGTTTGCTTTTCTAAATACGACTTTTTTTACCAAGGGATTCATCCTTAATCTTACCGAAAGTATGCAACTAGTCAAGTCAATTGAACCCTTTAGTCTCCTAAGTTGATGGTTTTGGTAAAAAACAGAAACGTTCCTTGAAGCAAGAATCAAAGGTAAAGTTGTGATGGCTTACTAAAATGCACTGGGTGTTTTGTTGATTCGTTATGCGTGGCTCTCAGTGGCATTGCTACATTCGATGCTAACGGGAATCCCATTTAAATGAAGACATACACAAAGCACTGAGGAATACATCAAGAACAAACTTGCAACTTGCACCATTTGCGCAGCATTTATTTCGTAATCCACCATTTTTCTTCGTACAATTTTGTGAAACGCAGGTGGGTTGATGCAGCTCGACTGAATTCTTTCCCCAGATCCCACCATGTCAGTTATTTAAACTTAAAATCATTTTCGTTGATGAATGAATTCTTCATCAGGATTATCACTATCCTTCATCATTATCTGATGAAAAGCGATTACCCCTTCCCTCTATAAATCAGGAACATTCAAATACTTGATTCTAAATCGTCAATTTAATGATGCAATCTGAAGAGCATGCTGAAAATAAGTAAAATCAAATTTTCAATTTATAATGAACTCTTATACTCTTAGATTTCACCAAGCTCTCGGTTGGAGCATCGTTTAAGTATTAGACTGTGATTATCCAGAATAGAAACACGAGCATGATAGGGAATGAAGAAAAATCCAGTTTTAATTTATCAATACTTTATAACACTAGCATACTTTATATCTAACCGTTAACTACAGCAACCATGGCTGATTATGACACAAAATTTAAAAAAAACCAGCGCGTAGGGATTTTTAAAAAAATTCAAAACTTAACGAAACTATGAGTGACAAAATTGCGAGTAGCCTAAGTCTCTGGTAAGACACCATTGATCGTCACTTGTGATGTAATTTTGAGATAAAAGAATTATCAGCAACGACGACAGACCGTCGGCACGATAATTATACATAGTTAAGGATATTGTCATTAATTTACCAAACATGGTGACATTAATAGTACATCTGTTCTCCCCCTAAGGCGTCAAACTAACAAGGGAAAAGTCTACATTTAACGCTTTATGCCATTAAAATATATCATAAAGTTTTTAGAGAATCTTGAACATTTTTTTACATCTTTTTGTTCTATTTAATACAAATCATCAAACCGAGAGGGTATACCTTCCGTGATTTGTCCAGCTATCTTAACTAAATTATACGGCTGTCATATCAATTACAAAAAAAAGAACCTTTGTTAACGAAACGAGAAAAAGTCTTCTCAAGGACGGCTCGGTCTAATAAATAGGAGAAATATCAGAAGATCAGAACTGATTTATGACTCTCATTTCTGTATATTACGTTTACAATTACGAACTATGAGGCGTATTGCAGCGACCGAAATCCGAAAATACTTTTAAAAATCAAGTAAAACACGGTCAATTGCAAAAAGATGATAATGCTACTGATGTCACCTTTCTTGTCAGATATAGATTCTAGCATCAGCTTTTTCCGAAAGTGTACAAAGAGTATAACAAAACTGAACAATTTCGCCTTGAAAACGAAAACCAGACTGGACAACTGCCTTCTAAAAGGAAAAATCAGATCAACGCAAATTCATGCGCTGGCTGACAGTTTTATTCATCTTTTTTTCTTTTTTTTGAGATTCAAAAAAAAAAAAACCAGGGGCCTGAAACGAGAATCTAAAAAATCATCATCAGTCGAGTAGCGTTTCCATTCATGCATAGCTATATTATCAACACAAACGACCGTGATGAAAAGAAAATAGATGCCGGACGGCCGTTGGAACTAGTAACTAGCAAAGAAGGAGAATAATTCATTTTCTGTAGACAGATGAATATTTTTTCTCTCCTTATCTGTAAAATTATCTCTACCAAAAGTGGAAGTGGACCACCAACTTCAAAAAATTTTTGATAAACCACAAGAGAGCATACTATTCCAAAAACGTTCTTTAGGCAGAAGTTTACAAAACCATGACACATGATATTTTTAATTTTTATAATAAGACTCTTTTTTTGTAACCCAATGAGAAACTGAATTCGAGAAGTTTAGCTTATCATAATATTCCAGTACATACTTAAGATTTTGCTGATCACCAGATGGTACGAAGTATTCTCACCATGTATCTAAAATTCTTCGTTTTACAAGAAAGCTATTTTCAAACACTACTTCAACAATTGATGGAGTCGATATCATGCCAAATGGTCAAACTTTCACTCGTGTTACTGAAGAATTTAGGCTGAAATATGTCATCATTGAATTCTTTGCCTCGAATACCATCAGAGATTTAAATTCTGATACCAGCATATAGGAATTATCTTGCTAATTATGCAAATCTTTTCGAACCTAAATATCTTACTTCATTATTTAGTAATTAATGATTTGCTTTCGAATTAACTTTAGAATAAGGAAAATCCATTATTTGAGCACTGACTCGACCATTAGGATCATGACATGTAGAAAATATATGCGAGTGAAGCTTTAAGAAGTCTCGAGGTAAGGCTAAAAATTGTATCTGATTTAGTCCAAACCCTAACGATTGATGATCCGACAAAAATTTCAAACCAAAAACCCTCACTCGAGAAAGAGCGTAAACACGAAAGGACAAAGCTGCCGAGAACTGTGCAAAAATCATACTAGTTTCTAGTTCATATAGCTTCTCTCTGGCCAGTTTTATGGCTAAATGTCGTTTTTAAGAAAGGGTTTTAACGTCAAATGATTTGTCACTTTACAACGATGCATAGAGGTCTAAAGATCAGTGACACTTCTGAGGGCACAAAATTTACCTCCATTGTTGTGATATTTAGTCTTCTCGAGCTCTTATTGATTGCAT